TAATGAGTGTAAATTCACGTTGGGCTAGTAAAAGAATAGAAGCAATTGCCCCTGGCGTTTGCTGTTAAGGGGATTGACAAATGAAAACTATGTTGTCATTTTTTATTTTTTTTCCTGGCTGGGTTAATTCCCAGGCCTGTCAATCATATACTGGTTACCATCAGTGAGATTTTTTCCATCTTGTAGTCTATAAATCAGGACATGTAGATGTGAAATTATTTGATATAGCAACAGCAAAAACTGAGGAACCTTTTTACAGTGGAAGAAATATATCTTTCCTGATATCAGCATTCATAGGTCGTTAACCAAAAATACATTTATCATGAATTTCAAACACAGGGCATTCTGGAACTAGAAATTATCATATTATTATCTAACATATGGGCCAAGTTTTAAAGGCATCATAAGCTATATACTTTTAGTGTAAATATTAACATTTCATAAGTTATCCTTTAAAAATTAACACCGTTTTGTTATTTTATTGTTAATGGCCTTTATCGGCGTATGTTCATAAAATTAGCACAATAACTACTTTTAAAAGGTGAAAACCCTAATTCAATGACAACTAAAACTACATTGAACAATACTTTAAAGACATTTTGTTAAATAAAAAATGAAATTATGATAGAAAATAAAAGCCATGGAGAAGGTGCTTGGTAGATTACTAAGGGTGGCAGTGAAGAACTTGGTTAAATATTGCAATCATCAAAGTAAAATACTGTGCTACTCTCTTTTCCCATTTCATTGGCTTTTAGGGACTTAATTTTCCTTCAGGTTTGCCCTTGGTGTTTATTTTAGCTTCATTGCACCTTTACTTTTCATCAGGAATTGAGCACACAATATGTTATTCATCCTCGAAGCAACCATGCCTCATTCATTCCTTTAACAGGCTACAATTTTTCAAAAACATTCATTGAATTTTTTTATTATCTGAATTGATAAGTAGGCAAAAATGGTTATTGCTTTTCTGTGGCAAGAAAATTGAGGCAAGTCAAATCAACAAGAACCCATCTATCCATTTCCACCCTCCCTTCACTATTGGAGAACTCCAACTTTATAGGCCTAGAATTAAAAACACAAAAACATATACAGAAAATACATTCACTTGAAAAGAATATTGATTAGATAGAGAAAGGGAGATGGAAGGGAATGAGATACCATTCCAAGAGAACAATGACAATTGCCAACAATTTTTACAACACTTACTGTATCATAGAAACTATACCTAGTACTTAAAATAAATTATTTTATTTTAAAATGCTCACAACAATCCTATGATTAATTTCTATGTTATCATGATTTTAGAGATGAGAAAGTGAATTCTAGAGAACTTTTTAAAATTTCTTTATTGTTGAAAGTTTTGCATATGTCTCCTTTTTCTCTCATTGATCTCTCCATGTCCACTCACAGCCCCCAGCACAACCCCACTCCCTTATTGTTTGTGTCCATGCTCAGATGCATGCCTACAAATCCTTTGGTTGATCTCTTAGCCCGGCACAACCCCCCCCCCCCCCCCCCCCCCCCCCCCCCCCCCCCCGGTCTTCCATCTGAGGTTGGATGGTCTGTTCAATGCTTCTATGTCTCTGGATTTATTTTTGTTCATCAGTTTATGTTGTTCATTATATTCCACAAATGAGTGAGGTCATGTGATATTTATCTTTCTCCAACTGGCTTATTTCACTTAACATAATATTCTCCAGGTCCATCCACGCTGTTGCAAATGGTAAGAGTTCTTTCTTTTTTATAGCAGCATAGTATTTCATTGTGTAGATGTACCAAAGTTTTTTAATTCATTCATCTGCTGATGGGCACTTGGACTGTTTCCAAATCTTAGCTATTGCAAATTGTGCTGCTATGTACATATGTATATATTCTTTCTGATAGGTGTTTCTGATTTCTTGGAATATATTCCTAGAAGTGGAATTATTGAAAAATCGAGGAGGGGAACTTGGAGCAATAAAACCTTGGGTCAAATGGGAGTTCCATCTTTAATTTTTTGGGAAACTTCATACTGTTTTCCACAGTGGCTGCACCAGTCTGCATCCCCACCAGCAGTGCACGAGGGTTCCTTTTTCTCCAACACGTGTTGTTGGTTGATTTGTTGATGATAGCCATTCTGACAAGTATGAGATGGTACCTCATTTCATTTTTATTTGTATTTTTTGGATGATTAGTGACTTTGAGCATGTTTTCATATGCCTCTTGGCCTTCTGTATGTCCACTTTCAAAATTGTTTGTGTGTGTATGTGTTAATGTCACAGGGCTGGCAAGAAACAGGGATAGGATGCAAAGCTCACGCTCTCTGCCCAGTGAATCAGTGGCCAACCACTGTACTATCCTGATGCCTTGGGAGGATGGCAAGGTGAGTGGTAGACATGCCTCCAGTGGAAATCTAGGAGAAAGAATCACTCTACCTCTTACTATTTTATTTCAACAAAAGCCAAAATGCTGGTAGTTTTGCAATCTCAATGATTCATTCATTAATCATTAATTAATCATTATTTACTGAGACTCTAATAAGGTGCAAGGAAGTGAGATGGGCTTTGGAAGAACACAAAAGCATATTATACAACCTGTGTTTTTTCATATTAGTCAATGGGTTTTATTGCTTCAAGGTTCCCCCACCCCTTGAGTTTTCAATTTCTGTGAAGGAAAACACAGTCAATATAAATGATATGCTTAGGACTTTTGCTCCTTGTCCTTATTACACTCACAGGCAGTTATTGTGTACAATTACAGGATGTTGGCAGCAGAAGGGCTTCTGAGATCTTTAAGTCTAAGTCTTTCATTTCACATTAAAAATAAAAAACGAGGCCCAGTGCAGGAGAACGGACTTCCTAAGGCCCCATAATTCTTACCATGGGGATAGTTCTGTTTTTTACTTTTCAATTCATCTTTTTATTGGGAAATATAACTCAATTATACCATGAAATATAAGTCAAAAGTAAGTATAATAATTACTGAGCAGACATGTAATCACTAGAGCAAAAATAAAACAATGCCAGGCCCTTCTGAACACATGCCCATACTTCCTTCTTCAAGCAACCACTGGCCTTTTTTAAAACAAACAAACAAACAAACAAAAAAAACTTTGGTAAACTATGCTTGACGTAAAATGTACCATTTTAACCATTTTTAAGTGGAAATTCAGTGGAGTTTAGCATGTTCACAACGCTGTGCAATCCTACAGGGAAACCTATACCTATGAAACAATAATTCTTAGGACAGTTTTGCTTAATTATATCCCAGATATTCTGGAGCTCTAGTCTTTCCAAATATAAGGTTTTAAGACAACACAGTGATATGTACAACATAGTGACTGTGTGTGTTTTGCAGGGAGAAAAGTGGAAGCAGAAACTTGGAAGCTACTTGAGGCTGTTTTAATAGTGGATTTTGAACATCCATGGTAGGCTTGAAAGAGAATTAAGGCTGAAACTGAAACTGCTTTTATGTTGGAAAAAATATATAAAAAAGAATCAAAATGCCTAGCCTGAGAAGTGACAAGAACGTTCCCTTTCGGGAGCTGTCTACAATCAGAGCTTACTACGCAACACTCTCTCCTGGTTCCTGAGGCTTCCTCTTTGGGTCCTGAAGGGGGAGCTGCAGGCCCTGAGTAATGGACTGCAAACCAAGCTCAGATTATGCTTCACAATTGAAAACATGATGCCTAGTCCTGGCTAGTTTGGCTCAGTGGATAGAGCTTTGGCCTGCAGACCAAAGGGTCCTGGATTCTATTCTGGTCCAGGGCACATACCTTGGTTGCAGGCTCCTCCCCAGCCTGGGCCTTGGTCAGGGCGAGCGCAGGAGGAAACAATCAATGTTTCTCTCACATCAATATTTCTCCCTGTTTTTTCCTCTTTCCCTCTCTCTCTAAAAATCAGTGGGAAAAAAATATCCTCAGGTGAGCATTAAAAAATAATAATAAAATAAAACATATGGCAAGCCACACCTTTTCAGCCTTCTATGACTGTGAGCCAAGTCATGCAATGTTCACAACTCCCCCATCTGAATAGTTTTTCATCACAGATAAGAATTGCTATTTTTCTCTTGCCAACCACATAAATAATGAAATTTTCTCTCCTAGAAAGCCTAGGAGCAAAGAAAGTGCCAGACAGGGAGGAGGTTAGTGAGAAATCCAGGAGGTGCAAGAGGAAAGGTCACTGGAGCTGGGACTGGAAGTGCCAGGTAGATGCTGGCAGCAAAGAGCACGCTCTCCTCCCCAGAATGTGTGCTTTTTGGGGAAGTATATTACAACGAATACCAAGGGAAGCCTTGGACATGCACAGGAGAATATGTGAGGGTATGATCACATGCTTATATTGTACTACTATTTGTCTCTGATATCATTATAGGCATGTTCACAGGAATACAGAAAATCTATCAAGATACCAATCATGTCATTACCATTCTGAAACATTATCCCTCTGCATTCATTAAAACCAAGGCTACAAATTTAACAAAAAGGCCAAGTGCAAATAAAGACCACACCCATTCTGGCTTGAGAAACTGTGTTCATGTGTTATGCTATCCTGAAAAATATAGCATTACCTTCTCAGGTATCTGAGGGCTCACAGTCTGTAGACTGAAGTAATTTGATTACATGTGAGTACCTGAAGAAAATGGAAATTCTCTCATATTTTAAAAGGACTTCTGCCCTAGCTGGTGGCTCTGTGGTTGGAGTGTCAGCCTGCACACCAAAGGGTTGCAGGTTTGATTCTGAGCCAATGGCACGTCCCTGGGTTGCAGGTTCCATCCCTAGCCCTAGTCAGGATGCATGTGAGAGTCAACCAATCGAGGTGTCTCTCTTGCCAATTTTTCTCTTTCTCTCTTTCTCCCCCGTTCCCCTCTTTTTCACTCACTCTAAAAATAAATGGAAAAAATATCCTCAGGTGAGGATTAACAAATAAAAGGACTTTCAACTTTCCTGCTGACCTACAGAAAAGGTCTGGAGTGACCACCTTTCTCATTAGTACAATTTTCAATTAAAAATAAAAATAAAAATGGAGGATGACTGCCTTGCCTCTGGTGGTGGGCCTGAAGTCTCCTGGGCCAGCAGGACTCACAGTCAGGGAGAAACTCTAGGCATGAAATGGGGAGGCCAGAGACAAACAAAAACCCATGAGGACAAACTGAAACCCACATGCATTTTACACCACCTCTGTCTTAGTCTGTTCAGGCTGCTGTAACAAAACACCATAGACCAAGTGGCTTAAGAGTAACAGAAATGTAGTTCTGGCAGTTAAGAAGTCCATAGTGAAGGTGCTGGCAGATTCGGTGTCTGGTGAGAGCCTGCTTCTTGGTTCGCAGATGTTGTCTTCTTTCTGTAACTGCACATGGTGGAAGTGATGAGGGAAATTCTCTGGGGTCTCTTTTATACCAATCACCTTCCAAAGCCTCACCTCTAAATAGCATCACATTGAGGTTTTGGTTTCAGCGTGTGAATTCGGAGCGTGCCCCACATTCAGCCTATGGTAATCTCCAACCCTGATGAGATGTGAAATGTGCTGAGGAAGCTGGGGCCCTTCACCGTGGGGATCACTTGTGTCTGATCCAGGATTTTGAAACTGAAGATCAGCAGCAGAAGCAGAAGTTGCAGGCTGGCTGCCAACGAGGTGAGCAGCAGAACAGAGACAATGTGTAGGAGTGCGGCACACCCGTTGCCTCACACTAACTTTCAGAGCTGCTGTTTCCCTCTCCTTGCCCCTGCCAAATATCACAGTGCTCCTCATGGCCAACAGGACACCACACCATACCCAAAAGGGGATTCGAAGAGACCTACCTTCAGCTTGGTTAAGCTGACATAGTACAAAACTTCCCACTGTCTTACTAGTCTCCAAGTTCCATGGTGGCAGGGAGCATACTTGCTTTGTGTCTAGCACCTAGAATAGTTTTCAACACAGAATAAGTTGTGATTCAAAGGATGAACATTTTAATGAACAAATTATATTTTTGTCTATGAGCAAAAGGAATTTGTTCATTGAAAACAATCATTTTTTGAGTTACAACTCATGCAGGATTTCATTGCAAACTGTAATTGTAAAATTGACTGACCTTGAATATGATGTGATTTTGGCAGAGCATTTAATAAATTTAACCACTGTTGATAGCCTAATAATTGGTGCAAATTTGCAACCACCTGAAATTATTTTTGGATATATAGTAAACAAAATTAATTAAATAAAAAATGTCACTGTAGACAAAGGTACGATTCCCTTTCTTAATTATGATATGTATGCTATTAAGAAATCAGAAAAAAAATGAATTGACAATTCCCTAGAACCTTTTAAAGATATAATTGACAACAAAGAACGAGATGACCTTCAGTCAACAAACACTGCTTGGAACCAGCCTAAACTTCAACAATTGTTTTGAAAATTAGGAACCTTTGGTGGGAAAGAGGATCAGAGAAACAGAAAGTGAAACTGTCTACTCCTGTTCACACAATTGCTAGGACCGTCCAAGGGTCTGGGATCTGGAGGTCCCCACCCAGAGCTGGCCTCCAGCACACCTAATTTTTTATCTTGAAGATATTTGACAACTCTTGTGTAACAATCTCTTGCTTCATTGGGCTTTGGCTGACAGGATGCATTAAAGCCTATGAGTGTACAATATCCCATGGATGAAAACTGAAGAAAATACCTACTAGGTAGTATGTTTACTGGAGTAACATTTCATGTCTAATTTTAGAAAACTCCTCTAAATTTTTAAGATGTGCCAGTGCAGTGAATGAGGAGTAAGGGGAATCACATGAAATTTTTTGCAGTCCGAGGGACCTCAAATAAATACTTTGGCTTGTCAGTGCAAGCAGGTGAAGATATTTGGGGGAAAGAAGCCTGGTAATGAACAATGAATTGTTATATCAGCATTTGGCAAGTTTTAAACAGAGACCCTGACACAAAACGAGCTTTGAAATTGCTATTTGTGTATACTCATTCATTCATTTCACAAATAATTTTTAAGTGTCTAATATATACTAAGAATGTATTGTACCCATGCAATTCAATTTATAAATATCAATATAAATAGGTACCAAAACTAATGCTGGAAAAAAGAGCAAAATGGAGATTAATTCATATAATATAATGCTATTTATGTGCATTCGTCATGTAAAAAAACAATTCACACATGTATTTTTATGTTATCTTCTTCACATGAATAGCACTTAAATGTTCAGGCATATTATATATGTACACATATTTCTATATGTAGAGATATATAAAACTACATGTAAATCTATTTGAGAACAGACTGAAAGAAAACTGACAACACTTCAAACACACTGGAAGGGAGGGGTCTGAGATGGGGAGGGAATAATCATGAAGATAGAGTTTAAAAAAAGCTGATCTGTATCTGTAGTTATTTCTTATATCAAAAATAATTTAAAGAATGAGAATCCATGAGACAAAATATTAAAAATATTTAATTCAGATGAGCTGAATAAGATTTTTTGCTATATTATTCTTTGTAATTTTTCTCCTCTGACTCTCAAAATTAAGCACAAACTTTTTAAATGTACTTATAAATTCCTTCTCACACAATGTAAACATGCAGATTCAATACCCAGAGTGTCTTTGGCATTTTCTTTTTTAAAGGTTAGACGAATCCTTTCATTTTTGTTAGGTATGGAAAGGAAGATAGAAGAGAAATTCCAAAAGCCAAGTTCATTGTGGGACTTTCCTGGGTTCTTTTAGAAAGACCTAATTCCCATGGTGGGGACAGGGGTAGGAGAGGGCAGGAGAAGTTACCTCCAGAGACTCCTCCCTGAACCCCCCTCCCCACAGGCACCTCCATCTGACAGAGCATAGACAGCATGCTCTGCAGAGAGAGTAAATGGCAAGTGGAACAGAGGTGCCGTGCTGCTCCCTGGAAGCTGAGGCAAGATGTCATTGGTAAGGAACATGGCCCTCTTTCTGTATAAGATGCCAAGAAGGTGAAAGACTCTGGTGAGGTGTGGTAGAAGAGGGGTAGACTGAATTCTACCCCTCCGGAAAGCCTTCTTGTGCTATGCCAGTCATGCTGACTCCAACGCTAAGCAGCAATAGTGCACTACTCCACCTGGCATCCATCACATTTTATTATAGATTTATAAAGCCTCTCAGAGGCCAAGAGAAGTTTTGGCCACTTATTATTATTTTATGAGTCTCCAGCATATTAAAAAAAAATGAAACAACAAAATAAACTAATTTCATTACATATTAAGTGTTTACAGTGAACAATAATGCTTTTAGCACTGCTTATAATAAAATGAAAGTACGCTGGTGGCACAACTACAAATTGTGGGGAAGCACAGGACTTGGTTGGAAGGTCTGTGAGGAGGAATCTCTGAAAGGTCGGGGGCCCCTGGGAGGCCTTGTCGAAGGCAGAAGTCTCTACCTTGACTTTTCCAAACAAGTCTGACTCCCCAGGTGGTTTACTATAATCTTTATGTTTAGATTTCAAAACATCCTTGCTTAAAGGATACAGGTGCTTTCTCAAGGATGTTTACCCTCCTGATTGTATCTAGAGGTTAATTTTAGTTCAAGCTGTTGTAACAATAAAAGGCTAATGAGGCAGGCAATTGGGGCTTTTTTGGCTTCTTATGCCAACTAGCCCCTTAGCTTCTCTTTCACAGAAACATGTGTCAGAGTAATCATTCATCTGTCATTCAGGGCCTGCCTGTCAGCCCTGGCTACTAATCATAAAAACAATTAGCTCCTACTGCATTATGGAAGTCTGTCCCAATAATGGGACAAAAAAGTACAGTTGTATAATGTGTGTCTTTTTAAAATCCTGTTAGTTTCTTTGTGGTTGTATGTAATATTGCAATAGAAAAGAAGGCAAACTATCTACAGTTGATTTTTTGTGTGAGAAGCAGACCGGTCCAAGGGGCCTTCCTTTGCCATCCTTTCTTTCTTGTTTTAAGTTATGCTCATGAGGATCCCCAACCAATCTGTAGATTACTTGAGAGAAATGACTGTTATACAAATTGAGAGGATGAGGGGAACAAGAGTAGGGCCTTGGTTAGTCCAGTGGAGGAATGACATACACTGCAATCAACAGGATGGAAAGGTCGAGTTCAGGAAGAATGACAAAGTGGAAAGGGGCAGAAAGATGCTTTAAGCCCAGACAGGTGTGATGCTCAAAGGAGAGACTTGTGCCTGATCTAACCGACTCTGCATAGAGCTTTGTGCAAGAATAGTGGCGTAAAATATGGATAGATGGGCTGAACTTTAAAGCAGCTTCTCTGTGCAACTCATGGGCTGATGACCATGTTTTATTCTCACACTTCACTTTTCCACGGGCTTTCCTTCTAAGTCTTAATGGCAGTCACGTTCACAATACTTTGAGGAATTGTTGAAAATGTGCCACTTTGGGGGGGATGTGCTCAAAGACCGTGTGGTTCCTCCTGTGACTCTTTCACCCCTGAAAATACATACCCTGCATCAAACTAAGCTTCTGTCTTAAAGTGTGGGGATGACAGCCACAGGAATCAGGTACTCAGATTCATAGAAGAGGGCCCAGGAGGGGAAGAGGGAAGGAATTGGGAGTTTTGAGGCAAGGGGCCAGATCAATAGTTCTGTGAATTATGGAATGAAGATCTAGGCCGAGGGCACTAGTGGATGCAGCTTCTCATATCCCTATAGCTCAAGTCCAATGGTGGTCTGAGTGTGAGGCCTCACAAGCAGGTGAAAGATTTCCAGAAGGTACACATCTCTATGAAGTCATTCAAACCAGAAAATATATCACAGGGCATCTTAGAGGTGTCCCATTGAACAATAAAGTGTTACTAAACATTTAATAAAACTGTAACACATCAGAAGGAATAGAGACTGTGTATGAGCAGACTGTTAGAAAATCTGGTCAAAACGTATTCATGGCCATTTGTCATTGACAATATTTTCTTCATCTGGAAACCAGGAGTGCTATTCTGTTATCGAGAGAGCATAGAAGAGGAAGACCTTAGGCATTCCATTCCAAAGAGAAGTCATACAATTTATAACAAAGAGAAGGGAAATGAGAGCATTCTTCAGTTTTGGTCTTTTGCAAGGTCAAGAGAATTGCTGCATGCTTGCTACTTCATTATTAGAAAATAGAGAAC